CCCCCTTTTCCTAATCTTGGCACTGTATTTCTTTGTGATTGATCTTGAAGTTTATTGAATGTTGCCTGTGTCAGCAGCATTGTGTAGTTAGTTAGACTTTAAAAATATTTTAAACTAAAATTACCTTACTTCATATATACTCATAGTTCATGTTTATGGTGATCATTTATAAAACTCTGAATTTTCAGTAGTTCACCAGGTCATATTTTCATCAGCTCATGGATTATGGTGTAAACTTCCATCTTTTTTCCCACAGCAAGATGCATCAAGAGATGCTATAAAGAGGCACTATATACACAAATCATGGTGTCTTTGATGGGGCATGGAGAACAGATCATCAAAAGTGTTATTAGTTGGGGGGGAAAAAATCCTTTTATATACTGATTTATCTAAGAACTTGTCACTTTATTTAGAAAGTCATAGGTCACACTTAATTTTTGTGTGAGGCTTCCAATTTGTTAGCTGCTAGGTAGCTAACTAGCTAGTTTACAGTGTCGTTGAACCATTTTTAAAAATATTAAAAGTAATAAGTGGTCAAAAAGGTAAACCTTTATCACGCCAGTGGACTAAACTGCCCTTAAAGCCAATAACTATGCATTTTTATCTTTAGGCTATCATTTGACTGCCTGATGTTAGCTTAATGATCGCATTAGCTTAAAGTTAGTTTGTCTAAAGTCTATGTTAAAGGGGTCATATGATGCTGCTAAAAATAACATTATTTTGTGTATTTGGTGTAATAAAATGTGTTTATGTGGTTTAAAGTAAAAAAAACACATTATTTCCCACATACTATACATTATTGTTTCTCCTGAATCGCATCATATGACCCCTTTAATATCTAAAATAATTTGTGGTACATGTCTTGGAAAACTGCAACAAAATCCCATTCATTTTCTCCATATGGGAAATGATTTGAACTATTTTGTTTGTATCTGTTTATTACGTTAAATGAATGTCAAAATACCCACCAACGGGGGTTTTCCAGAAGTCTTTAACAGTAGTTTCAAACTACTCAGCTATTTTTTTTAATTTTTTTTGGCTTATAATAAGGTAAATAACATGAAGCATTAACACAGGTGGAAGCCGATTTTGATTCAGCTCTAATGGGCTTTATGTCCAGAGCTTATTAATTATGGCTAAATTTGGTCTGGTTTTGCCGCTTTCTCTCTCCCATGCCACAGCAGAACACACTGAACCCCTCGTCTCGGTCGCCGGCCACTTGTCTTCGGTTCAGTTGTCACAAAAATCATCATATCTTTCAGGTGCCCGTTATTCTGGAACTAGAGGTCGCCATGCACCAGCTACTTCGGCAGCGGGCGTCCCGTCTCGTCCAGAGAAGACAGGATGATATTAAAGATGAATCGTCGGAGTTTTCCAGCCTTTCAAGTCAGTCCATCTTGAAGGTTTTTATTTGAATGGCCTCATTGTTTTTTTTTTCTTCCCGTTTTTTTTAATATAGTTGTAGTTAATTGCACATCAGAATAATACACAAAGAGACTGTCCTGTGGGTGCACGTATGTGTGATTGATTGAGACAAGTAAAACTGTTGTGGCTTTCGGATGGTGAAAGCTCACTGGCTTCTTATTGGTCAGTGTTTACACTGAAACATTGCTAAGATGCTGAGCAGGTGAGTGTTTTGGAGGAGAGTTTCAATCTCACCCCAGTAAAATTGAGCAGGTAGATCAAAATCAGCTTCTAGTTGTAAATTAATCCTGATGATGTCAGGAGAAGAGGGAAAACAACTTAAAGGGAAAGTTCACCCAAAAAAATATCTTAATTTCTGTCATCATTTACTCACCCTGTCGTCTTTCCAAACCTGTATGACTGACTTTTTTCTTTCGAACACAGAAGACGACATTTTGAAGAATGTTGGTAACCAAACAGTTGACTGTAGCCAATGACTTACATAGTATATTTTTTCCATTCTTTGAAAGTGACTGGCTACATGGATACCAACATTCTTCAAAATATCTTCTTTTGTTTTCAACAGGAAAGAAATTCATACACGTTTGGAACTTGAAATGGAAATGAAATGGGTGAACTATCCCATTAAGCACTGTGCATGGAATTAAATTTTTTTAAACTAAATTTATATTAAAATTTGTGGCCTAATGCATGAACATCTATGCTATATTAATGAGTAGGTAATGACTATCATGACTATCTAATCTGTCAGTATAGGCTGTAACAGCTGGTGAGCTCAGCTTTACTGTGAGTTCATATTAGTTTTTCTGTTTCAGGTAAGGCTGTTATGGCACCTAATTTGGACTCATTCGGTAGAGATCGCACAGCCTATCAGGAGCTGGCCAAGCAGAGGAGGATAGCTGAAAGAGAAGCCAGACGGTATACTTTCACTTTATATACATTTATATATATATACACACACACACACATATGTATATATATATATATATATATATCTCAGCAACGAGGTGGTGTCGCTGTTTTTGAAGTAATTGTTTGTACAGAGAGACACGCAGACACAGCTACACACAACTGTCATCTCTCTCTGTCTCTCTCTCTCTCTCTCTCTGTCTCTCTCAAATGATCGATCGATAATTAATTGAAATACATGCTATAATTCATTCAAATAAATGTTGTCTTACCGCACTATTTCATTTCTGTGTCTGATTTGAAGCGGGCAGAATGCTAGCGCTAACGTGCCGTAACTGACGAAAATAACTAATTTTTACCCATTTGGTCAAATATTGTGCTGCAAAGAGCAATACTAGTTTTAACTTGTCTATAACTTGGCAAATGACCATGGAATAAGCGGGATAATCAACGGCTAGCCGTGCATTAAAGGATTTTAAATGCACAATGAGAAGCGGAGGGTGGTTGCCTCTGCTAAGTGCATTTACAAGTTAAAACTAGTATTGCTCTTTGCAGCACAATATTTGACCGAATGGGTAAAAATGACTGATGAGTTATTTTCGTCAGTTATGGCACGTTAGCGCTAGCATTCTGCTAGCTTCAAATCATACACCGAGATTAAATAGTGCGGTAAGACCACATTTATTTGAATGAATTATAGCATGTATTTCAATTAATTATCGATCGATCGTTTGAGAGCGAGAGAGAGACGGAGAGAGATGACAGTTGTGTGTAGCTGCGTCTGCGCGTCTCTCTGTACAAACAATTGCTTCAAAAACAGCGATTTTACCACCTCGTTGCTGAGGAATATAATGTAGCGATCTAGTATCTAGGCTATTATATTAATGAAAATCACGGGGAAGCGTTGACCACAAGTTTGTGTGTGTGCAGCGCAATCAGCGATCTCTGACCTCTCTCTCTCTCTGTGTGTGTGTGTGTGTGTGTGGATTTGAGACTTTAGTCTTTGCAACTTTACAGATATTCTTTATGCACCAAGAGCTTGTAACACTCCAAAGAGAAAGGAAAAATTTAAATTGCATCATATGACCCCTTTAATTATATGACAACCCCTATTTAACTGGCAGCATTCCTTTTCACTGAGATTGCAAGATGGCGGGCCGCTCTAAGGTGACTGAAAGCCTGCAACAGGAGGTTGTCCAGATGAAGGCCAGAGGGATGACCCTTTCAGCCACTGCAAGAGAAGCTGGTCATTCCTAATCTGTGATTTCTAGAAAATTGCAGCTTTACAATGACACTAATTCATTCAAGTCCCCCAAAAAGGGGGATCGTCCACGTAAGATAAATGCACGAGAAGACAGGATAATGTGGAGACTCTCAATGGGCAATCGGTTCAACACTGCAGCTGGAATTGCTCACCAGTTGAACGCTGAACATGGTAAGGATCTGTTTAAGAGAAGTCGGACTGAAAACGCACTCTGCAGTGACGGAGCCTCTCATCAGCAGAAAGAATCAAAAGGCTAGACTCACCTTTGCTGAGGAGCGTTTGTGGAGAGAGGATAACTAGTCCAATGTTCACTTTAGTGATGAGAGCAATTTTAATTTATTTGGGTCAGATGGGAAGCATGTTCAATGTGAAACTGGGGAAAGACTGAACCCCTGAGTGTGTAAAGAATTCAGTGAAAGGTGGAGGAGGAAGTGTCATGGTTTGGGGGATGTTTTCTGCAGGAGTTAGGCCTCTTTTACAGCTACATGGCAGGGTGAATGGAAATGTTTATCAGAAACTTCTTCAGCAACATGCACCTTCCCTCCAAGCATCTCCCAATCAGCCTGCAATTTTCCCCTGTCACACTGCAAAACGGATAAAGCAGTTCCTTGAAGCGGAAAACATTGAAATAATAAAATGGCTGGCCAAGAGTCCTGATTTATACCCAACTTAAAATCTCTGGAAAATCCTTTCCCGAGAGACCGAAATTCCCGAGATGTGGAAGAAGAGTGGACCAAGATCACACCAGACATTCAAAGAGAGGGCCTCTACACTTCCTGCTAATTTCTGACAGCTAACTCTTCAAAATTTTAGTTGTAATCTTCTTTCGTGCTACGGTGGTTACTGTTCTCTAATTTTGATCACTGTGTTTTCCACAAAATATATTTTTTTGTTGAAATGCTTTGGTTATTTTGTCAAACATGTTAGTAGAACAGTGTTAGTTACCCACAGCTAATATTCCTTCACATTTTGAGTGGTGAAGATTAACTATTAGTATTTATGGATTGTTCTCTAATTTTGATCTTCTGTGTGTGTGTGTGTGTGTGATATGTGTCATATAATGGCATGTGCCAAAGCATATAATCCTCATTACAAATATTTTAAAAAATATAGTAATTAGCTTTGTACTGTAACTTGTAATGGCCAAATTTTTTTGGGAAAAGAGCAGCAAGATGGTATGTTTTCAGCTTTCTCGTTTATCAATAAAGTACATTAATACCACTTTTAATAATGGCTACTTTTGATTATAAAGTATTGTGTATATGGAACATATGACTATTTACTATTTGCTTGTTAAATAGCTAGTGCATCTAAATTAGATTGAATCAGAAATTCAAAACCCAGATCTACTCTAGGCAGAGTTTCTGTGATATATTTCAGTTATAATTAATTCATTTTTGATACTTCTGAGCAGAACTCGTCGCAGACAAGCTCGAGAGCAGAACGGCAAGAGAGCCGAGCATAAGGAGGGGCTGTCCAGTGATGATGAAGAGACATCCACTGACATCACCAGCTTCAACTCAGAAAGAGGTGACCAAGTTAACTCACACCAGTACGAGATCGGCTTTTGCTGGTTAGTTTTCACTCATTTCTCAATTAACAATTCATCTTTTTGATTTCCAGATCGCATTTTAAAAGAGTCGAAGCAGGTTTTTGAGGATGTGGTGGAGGATTTCCACTCACTGGACAACATAAAGTCTCACTTTGAGACCTGGAGAAAGCTGTATTTTACATGCTATAGAGATGCCTACATCGGACTGTGTCTGCCCAAACTCTTCAACCCTCTTATTCGACTACAGCTCATCTCATGGTCTCCACTGCAGGTACAGAGAACACGTCCCCACCACCACATTTTTATGATCTGCTTTGCATCGCCTAAACATTTTTATCTTAAAGTGCCGAAATTATGCCATTTGTATCTGTCTATGCAGGTGGAGTGTCCCAATTTTGAGTACATGCTGTGGTTTGAGTCTTTGCTTTTCTATGGCTGTGGGGAGCAGAGCGCCCTGAAGAAAGAGGAAGACACAGATAACAGCCTGCTTCCTGCTATTGTGGAAAGAGTGCTGCTTCCTAAACTGGCAGGTTAGTCTATCCCATCATTATGGTTCAGTTCTTTCTTTCAGAACAGCATCTTAAACCCAAATTGCACCTTGTCTCACCCCCCTCAGTGCTGACGGATCAGGTGTGGGATCCGCTCTCCAGCAGTCAGACGTCCAGACTGGTGACGTTCATGCAGAGGCTGATTAAAGACTATCCGACTGTGCTGCACGGCGACAACCGCAACACACAAGTCAGTGAATGGATGAGACTGCAACGCATTAAAGCCACAAGACCTCATTTTTGCATTTGAGTTTGATTTAACCTTTAAATTACACTTAATCAGACTTTTTTCACATCAAATATAAGGCCTCTAAATGATCAGTATGATCAAAACTTGTACTCTTCTACATGCCTTATGTTGTCTTATTGAGAGTTCATACTTTTTTAGTAAGTAAAAGGCCTTTTAGTATAATTGTAAAAAAAATTCACCTTTATCATGGAACATGTCTTTATGCTGTGAAATCTTTAATGGTTTTTATAAAGTAAATGTAAGAATAACTTTCATATTGTTATTAATGTTTCAAGATGAACACTTACTGGACTGAAGCAACTTAGTTTACTTGATAATCCATACATCATTTTTTGATAAAATTCCTTTTAAAATGCCAGTTAAATGTGATGCATCAGGCTTTTGAGGAATGTGTATTTGTAAATCACTCAATTATCATTATATTGCAGTGTATCATATATTTTGTCCTAGTTTTAATCACAAGATTATGCATTTAAATATCATCTTACTAAGACATATTATTGGAAGATACAGAGTGACAACTGAGATATATATATATTTTAAGTAGTCTGTATAAAGATCTCAACATTACAAGCTTTCAGAATTTTATCTTACTACACCAAATTGCATATTTTTGCTCAGTTTCTGCTTATGAATACAGTTGAGGTGTTTTTTTCCTCAAGTATGAGCTCCATTTTCTCCTGTGTTATACTATATGTGCCATAAAAGCCTGATTTATCAAATATGACACTCAGCAAGAACATGTGTATTATGCATATTTATTTTTTATTTTTTTATTTTTTGTCTAAAGGCTCAAATAAACTTCCCTTAAAAAAATTATTTCATATACAGGGTTGAATTATTGTGTCATTAAGAGAAATCTAATTTCTTAAGGCAAGAATTTGTCTGTTTTCAGGAGCTTCTGAGGACCATAGTCATGCGAATTCGACGGACTCTTGATGATGACATTTTCTTGCCTCTGTTTCCAAAAAAGTGAGTGTAAAAGCTGAATCACTCCTGTTGTGTCACCGTTTGTACATGTTGTTCTTTGTTCACATCGTCTAGTTTCGAGTGTGACTAAATATGTTTTGTAACCCAGTGTGTGATGTGTAATTTTAGTTTTCTCCCCTGACAGTGTAATGGAGAACAGGAACTCTGGTCCTTACCTCTTTTCCCAGAGACAGTTTTGGTCTTGTGTAAAGGTATGGCTAGTCATGCTTAAATATTCTACAGACTTTCTGCTGTCGTTTGAATCAGTTAATCTTAGTTTAACCTTTTATATTTGAAAATATTTAATATTTTAACTTGTTCAAGCTTATTCCCAACTGAATCTCTTTCTTGTGTTCAGTTATTTGGGAATATCTTAAAATGGGATGGGATCCTGTCTCCGTCAGTGCTGAAGGAGCTTGCCATGGACAGCACACTAAACCGCTACATTCTCTCAGCCCTGCAGACCACAGACATCAGCGAGGAAGACGTCGAGAAATGCCGCAGGGTATGACTTGTCTCCACATTTTTTGTGTAACAAATCAGTTGTGTAGTTTGGAATTAATATTCATATAAACAGTGTTTACATATGATGTCCTTCAACTCAAAGCACTATATTGCTCTCACTGCTGCCCTCAGGTGGTGGAGTGTTTTCCTGTGCAGTGGTTCAGCAGCCTGAAAGGACAGCAGACTCTTCCTCAGCTGGAGAACTTCTGCAGATATTTGAAACATCTGACCAGCAGTCTTTACCGCAGCTGTGTGGCTGGATCAGACGTGGAGAAGAGGAACGTGAGGTAAAGCAGTTTCTAATGTCCTTGAGTTAACATCCCAAGCTCACTGTAGATGACACACAAAGATATGATAGCCTACTGACGTCATTCGCATACGCGCTTGTCATGCGAGAATTAAAAAATACACCCACTATTTTTCAATCCGAGATCTGGGCACATTTTGGAAAAACCAAGCTTAGTGTGGGAAAAAAACCTGCACAGAATCATCGATCATCGATTCATCGATTGTGTGTGCGCTAGAGACAATCGCTGCGGGCTTCGTTGCACAGGATATGCGCTGTGAGACACGTGCGCATTGCTTGTGTGCTTCCACCCGCTGTTATTTCAGTGTTTACCTTTGGATATACTTCCATTTATGCCGTTTGGAATGCAGTATGTATTAGATGCACGAAAACTCACGTACTGACACACTTTCACGTTTGCTGTGTGTTTGTTGCCCTGAAGCTTGATCGCGGCTGCGGTTAAATGCACTTGCATCTCCGAATACTTTTGATACGAAACTGATATAAACACAATCAGTTATGTTTTAAGAACAGGACAAAACATCTGATATGTGGAAATAGATCTGGGCGTTAGTGTGAATGCAGCCTATTAAAGCTGCCAATGTCTATGATCTCATCAGTAATAATCAAACAGCAATAATGCTGAGGATAAAAGAAAAAACCCACAACTATGATTGTCTGTATTCTTTCGGATACTTAAAGCACTCATAGATACTTAAAGTACTTTTTGTTTATCACTTGTAACTGTCTTTTCCCCCCTTTATTAATTTGTATTTGCTTGGATGTTTTGAAGCTATATTTATTTGGTTAAGTTCTTAAACAAATGTTTTGATTTATTATTAATTTGTAATTATTTTAAAAAAGTAGCCTGCTTATATAATTTAATAAAAATGCACAAAATAAATTTGATATAATCGTGATGCATCGTGATATCGATCGAAATCGAATCGTTGACTTGATAATCGTAATCGAATCAAATCGTGCCCGGAAATAAAAGACGGCACCTGCAGAACACATCACCAACTTTTGTTGTCTTCAGGAGCCATCTGTTTGTTCAGTGTGTGTGAAGCATTATCCTGGTGAATCGAGCAGCATTTTAGGGAATGTGTGCCTATGTGTTTGGATTCTAACACTTGAGGGCACATTCTGACGTTCAGTGCAACACACTAATTGTGATCACAATGTAAAGGCTCCGCTCATGCTTGTTCCTATTCCAGAGGGATGCAGGACAAACCGTTTGTGTCTCGCGGCTCGGTCCCGCCGTTGCCTCGGCACGGTTTATCTCAGCTCATGGTGATTGCTTTGATCTGCGGGATCCGCATACCCTCTCTTAAGGAAGTCGTGGCCTAATGGTTAGAGAGTTGGACTCGTAACCCAAAGGTTGCGGGTTCGAGTCTTGTACCGGCAGGGATTGTAGGTGGGGGGAGTGAATGTACAGCGCTCTCTTCCACCTTCAGTACCACGACTGAGGTGCCCTTGAGCAAGGCACCGAACCCCCAACTGCTCCCGGGCGCCGCAGCAAAAAATGGCTGCCCACTGCTCCGGGTGTTTGTTCATGGTGTGTGTGTGTTCACTGCTGTGTGTGTGCACTTTGGATGGGTTAAATGCAGAGCATTAATTCCAAGTATGGGTCACCATACTTGGCCACATGTCACGTCACTTTCACTTTAACAGGTTGCCTGATGCTGCGGATAGAGTTTGTGTTATGACGATGAAGTGTGAGCACCGAGTCGTTTTAGCCCCATGGATATATTTAGATGCTCTGTAGAGAGATGCTTGAGAGCTTTCTCCCCCAGGATGTTTTAGTGACCTAGATTGGTTTGGGGGTGTTCCCTGACAGCTGTTGTGCCACGCCTCACTCAGTTTTCTGCTGCCAATGCTTGAGAGCGTTGGTGGCCATGATGGTCATGATGTTGCATCTGTAGTTAGATTGGCTTTCTGGGCTCCTTTAACATATCCATCAAGGCGGTGGTCTATGAGTTCAGTATGACATGGGTGCGGTCGGCGGCTTTCAGGAGGTTCATTCTTAGCCGGTTCTTCTTTACCTCTGAGGGGTCTGGCTCGTCATGTTCTGAGGATCATAGACGGGGCTAGTGAGCCAGCACTCTCCTGCTCCTTCCCCTTTCGGGAGTCAAGCGCAGAAGATGATTACCTTGCTCCCGCTCCAGAGCGTTTTCTCAGCCTGGGTAGTAAGGTTGGGCGGCCTCCCCTCATTTCCCCACATGCTAATTATGGGCTTTTCCCCCTTTGTTAGGGTTTTTCAAGTGGATGGCCTATTGCTTTTGGAACATAGTTGTTTAAGGACAGCTGTATTCCTTGCTTGATTTTAGGGAATGTCCCTTTCCGTGTTAAGCTGGATGGGTTTAGGAGTGGGCTGCCTCCCCAGGTCTCAGCGTATTTTTAAGTGGGCGGTCCCTCTGAATCCCGCAATATTAAGTTTGGGCTGAGTAAACTGTTCCCCCTCCTCAGAGCTTTTAAGTGGACAGTCCCTGCTCAGAGTGTAGCTGTCTGCTGATACTTATACTCCAGCTCAAACTTACTTTGCTCTGGAATAGCGGTCTGAGGGCAGCTGTGTTCCAGCCTGGCTTCTATGACTAGGTTGGGTTCCTCTTGGCACAAGTCCTCTCAAGTAGGCGCTGAGTCCTTGCCTTGGAAGATAGCTACCCGATAGCCGTGTTTTAGCTCAGTACTACCCCCTTGTCAGGGTTTCAAGTAGTGGTTTTTGAACCTCTTGCCTGGATTGTGTTATCTCCCCTGTGTTAGGGTTTTAAGTAGATTGCCCAGACCACTGGAAGTGGGCTATCTTCAGCCTTGCCTGAGGAAACTGCTATTCGAGGATAGCTGTGTTCCAGCTCGGCGACTACTCCCCTTATTAGGGTTATTTAAGTAGTGGTCTCCTTGAGCCCCTTGCCTAGACGGTGCTGTCTCCCCTGTTAGGGTTTTAAGTAGATAGCCCACTCTCTGTGGTCTTGGCAATCCTCATTTAGGACCTTTGGAGGATAGCTATCTGAGGATAGCTGTTTTCTAGCTTGGTGACTACTCCCCTTACTAGGGTTTTTAAGTAGTGGTCCCCTGGAGCCCCTATTTAGACTCTGCTATCCCACCTGCTAGGTAGTGCTGTGTTCAAAATATCGATACGACGATGTATCGTCACAGAGATTTGACGATATGAGCATCGATACAGCTGGCCCTGTATCGATACTGTGGCACGTGTGCAAGCAGTGGACCATGCTTATTTGCGCAATACGGAAATATCTGCTAAGTGTGCTACTTTTCTTTGTCAACCTGACAACCATGTGCACACGCGCTCTCTCCACTGTGGATAAATGCGCTTGCTTTCTGCGGGGCAGCGCTAAAAAGTTTGTTCCTGAATGTCTGAGTGCGGCCGCAACGTGATCTGTGTGTGTGACTGCACTTAACATCAAACTGCTTCTGTTTCACACAAATGCTGGCACAGACGTGCATGTTCTGCTAGAGTCGCTTTGAACTCTGCGCAGAAAGTCCTGCCGCGCGCACCTAAAAGCGAACTTGCGGACGCGTCGAGTCAGCCTTGTGTGCGTTAGATACAGTGAAGACAGCGCGTTAGTTTAGAACTCTTCTAATTTTTTTTTAATCGTAGAGAGTGTGTTAACTTGTGCAATGATGACCTACCAGCAATGTAAGTGGTTTTTTTATATTCTCCTGAGACCCAGCTATGGAGTTTTTGCCTCTGTAGTGGACATTATATTTTAGTGAATTT